TCCGTTCGGTGAGCATATGCTTCAGTGCAATGCGTTGTGCAAATCTAGAAAATGAATTAATCGAGTGGATTATCAACGTACGACAACAGTTGAGCCTAAAAATTCCGTTGCTAAGTTGTGTTAAGTGAGGGTTTGTTGCCTTGTTTTATGCTGTTAAAGGAATCCTTGCAGCTAGTAACACAATTGTTAAGTGAATCTTGCTTTCCCTTGCTTGTCAGAAGATTGCAAAAGGGGATCATATGACCCCAGGGCCACTGCAACCGTCATAAATATGAGCCAGTTGCCAGGTGTCTGAGTTCACTGAGTTATGATCACTTGATCATGGGGATGTTGCAATGGTCGGAAGTGTGAAAAATGGTTATGGGGTCACTTTTTTCAATGCTGTTGTAACTTCAAACAGTCAGTGAGCGAACGGTTGTAAGTTGAGGACTACCTCTAACCAGTGGTGAAATCCAAATTTTTTTACTACCGGTTCTATGGGCGTGGCTTGGTGGGTGTGGTGTGGCTTGGTGGGAGTGGCAGGGGAAGGATACTGCAAAATCCCCATTCCCACCCCACTCTGGGGCCAGCCAGAGGTGGTATTTGCCGGTTCTCCGAACTGCTTAAAATTTCCGCTACTGGTTCTCCAGAACCTGCTGGATTTCACCCCTGCCTCTAACCTCTTTATGTATTGTGTGAAGACATCCTTTCAAAGCCTGTAAGAGATTGGGATATTCCTGAGGTCTCCGAACTACAACTACCCAATAGCCCCAATAGCATGATTACTAATGGGGTGGGGGGGATGGGGGGTTTGCTGGGATTTGTAGTTTTGCCAGAGTTGGGCAGCCATAAAATCCCCACTCCTGCTTCCCCATGGAATGTGTTTGGTTCTGCTCGTTTCATTTCTGGAGCTTCTGAAAGTGGCAGAAATTTAGCACGGGAATATTATGAAAATAGGAAAAGAGAAACAAGTCACGCCTTGCTGTTATGTGTGGCTTGAAGTAGGAAAACCACCCTTTAAAATATGTCTAGTGCACTCCCTTTCACAAATCGCAGGATCCTGGAGTGGAAGGGGATGGGCAGGTCATCCAATCCAACCCTTCTGTCCTTTGCAGGAATCCAAAGTAAAGAATCCTTGGGAAATGGCTGTCTAGTCTCTGCCTGAACCTATGAATGGAGGGAACTTTTATATCTGTGTATGTTCTGCCCCAGCTACGGACCCCAAAGAACGCAGCACACACAAAAATTATACAAAGTTTATTTTACTCAAATAACTCAGTCTTTTTCAAGCAAAGGCTGTTAATAAACTTTCTTAACAGCCTACAAGAATCCTAAAATAAGGTAATCACAGTCTTACTAGAGTTGGCAGAAAGCCCAGAAGCAATTTTGCAGAGAATCCAGCCGTGAAGGAGAGTGAACTAAAGTTGTTCCTTACAGCTTGCTGCAATCGGTGTTCCTCCTTAAATAGGCTAAAGGAGTGGCCAATTAGCCCCAAGCCTTACTCTTGAGGAGACCTCCTCCTGAGGAGCCACTCCTGCCTTTTGGCAGCTCTGCGCACCCGTGCATTGAGAAGAGGCTCCTCCTCTTCGTCCTCTTCACTTAAAGGAGCTTCTGGAGGTTCTGAAGGCCCTGGCTAAATTCCTGCCTCTGGCACCACATCTTCTCCAGCCTCCTCACTGTCCGACTTGAGCACCAGCTGCACAGGGTGGTGGCGCAGCACCACACCAGCCTCCTCGTTGTTGGAATCAGCTACAATCTGCACAGGCTGCTGACGGGCCACAACAGTGTAGGGCAGGGGTGTCAAACTCAAGGCCCGTGAGCCGGATCCGACCATGAGGTGCTTAGATCTGGCCCGCAGGCCCACCCTGGAAACAGTGAAGGACTGGCCTGCAGTGCCTTTGCCAGCAAAAAGGGAGCTCGTGGAGGCCGCATGCGGGCCAAATACAAATGTGGGCAGAGGGCTGCAGGAGGCCATCAAGGCCAAACACGGAGCTCAGGAGGGCTGTGGCCAAAATTAGAGCCTCGATAAGTGACATTGAGCTGGCCACTCCCACCCTGGCCATGCCCCTCCCCGGGCCCCCGACGTCAAACACAACCCTGATGCGGCCCTCAATGAAATCGAGATGGACACCCCTGGTGTAGGGTAACTGATTCCAGCTCTTAACTATAGTATTAGGAAGCTTCTCTTAATATTTAATTGGTATCTGCCTTTCTCTATCTTAAATCTAAGCCACGCATTCTGGTATGAGTAAGAATAAGTCCGCCTTCTATCCGGTTTCCCCCAAAATAAGATATCCCCTGATAATAAGCCCAGTTGGGCTTCTGAGTGGTATGGCAATTTCAGGGTTCAAAAAAAATATAAGACAGGGTTTTATTTTCGGGGTAACGCGGTATGCGCCTTCCTTTTGTGTATTTGAAGAATGCTGTGATTTAGTTGTCATTTTCCAAGGCTAAAGACACGAGCTCTCTTCACAGGAATTAGCTTTTAGTTCCCTGATGAACTTTATTGCCATTTTTTTTGAGCCTTTTGCAACTTTTCCAAGTCCTTCTTGAAGTGTGGTGTCCAACTCTTTGCCATGCTCCCAGGACCTTAACTTTGCATGAAGTACATAAGGTATCAAGATTCTCTAGTGAACACCCTCCCCTTCCCATAAATACAGAGGGCACTGAGGGTCCTGACTGAGGAAAGGATTTTTTGAGGGGTCCTTGGTGTTCTGTGACCTTGGTTGTTGTTGTTGTTTTGCAGACATTAAGTTACCCAAACTAAGTTACATCATCAGTGCTACCAGTAGTTGACTTTGTTTGGCTGAGATTGTTTGGTTTTTTTTAAACAATCTTTTACTCTCCCAATTTGCTGACAATTTGGTTTTTAATTTCTGGATGTTAACTAATAGGCTTAAATACTGCTGGATAGTTTCAAAGTTTGTAGGTAGCACTGAATTCTGGGAAAGGTGGCATATCACTAAACTGATTTTAGAATCTCTAAGAATGGATTTGTACAGGTGTGCAATTTTCAAGACAAAAGTAAAAGTATATTGTCTGTTCTGCTTGCTTTTGGAGTATGGGTAAAATAGTTTGCTCGTTGGTTTCTTTAAAGAAGGAACATGACTCCAAATTGTATAGCTACAGCAAGAGAAACTGCAGTACAAAATTAAAAGAATCGCAATCCCCACAGACTGTTATTTAAACTGTGTTGAATCACACAGAAACTGGATGATTCAGAGGCCCAAAATAAACTTGGCACAATCTGGAATATTGGGATTCAGGAACTGCTTGCTAATAATAAAACAACAACACAAACACAACGAAAAGCCCTTTGGGGCATGTCTAAAGCAAGAATTTTAACAATAACCTCCCTAAAGTTCATTATTTCAAAGAACTCTGGGAATTACAGCCTCATGAAAAGCAAAAGTGCTTGTAAAAAAAAAAAGCATCTTCAATCTCTTCCCAAAATTACAACATCTGAAATGGCTTGTTAGAAGAGTTTATTAAATAGGATTTATTCAACCTCTGAGTCTCGCCAGTTTTTGTACCTTGGAAGACTGTTAAATTATTCCGTGTGTTCATCCCTATCCTGATCCCACACATAATTATTGGGAAGGGTATGTCTGATTGAGGGGTTCAATCATAATACCCAAATGCCAAAAAAATAAATAAATCTAGTTTAACATTTTGTTGTTAAAATGTCCTGTTGGGTTCTGCTGCTGGAGGAAGTAGTTTTAAAATGGTAGTTTTATCATTTGCTGAAGGCAAACATGAGGTACATACACAAGTTTTTTTAAAAAAAATATTTTAAATGGGCTTCAATTCCTAACTCAACCTTAATTTTGCTGAGCGAACCATGCATCCCCCTTTTCTAAGGCAGTTTATTCTTGCCACTTTTAATTCAGAAACTGAACAAAATAGAAACCACATGGAGATTAGATTGTCTTCCATCTACTCCAATACTTCGCTTCTTTAGCATGCCTGCACATGATAGCATCTGATAGACTCAAGGTAGACTGCCACTGGCCATGAACTCTCCATTTGAGTTATCCATGCAAACTGGCAAATGTAGACACCTAACATGTGGGCATCATTAAATCTTGAAAGCAGGAAACCATTGTGAGCTGTAGATTTTATTATTATTAGACAGAAGAATCGTCTCTTTTTAAGGGAGGAGGATATTTTAAGATATTAGACTGCATGATGCCTACAGGATAGACTTGTAATTTATGGGGCTTTTAGCCACTGCCTTGAAAGGGTAGGAAGTGAGGACAATATAAACCGTGTGGATCGCTATTCTTAAAGGGTCTGCTTTTAATCGTGTCCTCTTATACATTACAAGCAGAGGCGGGCGCTGTTTTTCTCAAATATCATTGGCTGACTTCGGAAGACGTGCCCCACCCAGTTTATCCAATCAAGTCAATTATCTGGGTCCCCAGGGTTTTCCGAACCCTGAACGAACCACCCGAAGCAAGTCGGAACAATCCGCGGGGCCAACACATTGTTGGCTGAATTGGGTTTCGGTGCTTTATTCGCAGAACAATATTAGCCAAGCCGTCTAGGTTTCGTGTCTCGTGATAACGCAGCTTAATTCGTCTCGTCTGGGTTTTTTTTTCCCCTCTCCATTTTTCCCCCCTTCGCAACCTTTTTTATTTTTTCATTTCTTTTTTCATTTCTTTTTTCTTCTTTTTCGTTTCCCCCCCCACCTTTTGCCTCCTTCTCTTTCTCGCATTGTCTAGAACCCTGTTCGTTTTTTAGGAACCCATCCTTCCGAAATCACCCAGCAAAGTGCGAATAACTAGAGGAACCAGGAAGTTTTTTATTCTCTGTTTAAAGGAATGTGTAATTCTATATAGATAGATAGATAGATAGATAGATAGATAGATAGATAGATAGATAGATAGATGATAGATCCAAAAGGAGGTGGAGATTTTAAAATAATTCATATTTTCAAAACCTTTCTGTTTAGCCTTAGAGGGAAAAAAACCCCAAAAAGAACTGCCTGTACAGTATTTGGTAATAAAGTAACTAAAATGATCGATTGTAATGAGTTTTTATTGATTTATTTATGACCAATTTTATTTCATCTCGGATGAGACATTTTCTGCACCCTTCAGTTTTTCATCCAGGCAACAGAAGTGAATATAACTGACTTAAATTGATTCCTCCTTTTTAAAACAAAAACAAAGTGCATTGAGTTAAAACTGGTCTTGGCAGGGCTGTTTTTGTTCACGAAACTTGAAATGTCTTCGTATAAATTAATCAAAGGCTAAAAGGCTAATACGACATTATTAGCTTTAGAAAAAAAATAATAATATAAGAAAGCAATGTACACGTTTCATTTAAAAAATAAAAAAATAAACCCCGACATTCCACATTTCAAATTCTATCCAACCAGGCGCGCGAATTCGGGATTTCAAAACCAACCGTAAAAGTTTACTTGCAATTATTGTTATTATTATTATTATTTGCAAAAGGGAAGATTTTTATCCCGAATGCTCGGTTTCCTCTTTTCTCGCTTTACTTCTTGCTTTCTAAAGCAAAATACAAGAGTTAGAATCAAGCATTCTTCCCCCCACAGTGTGTGTGTGTGTGTGTGTGTGTGTGTGTGTATGTATGTATGTATGTATGTATGTATGTATGTATGTATGTATGTAAGTAAGGTGTTATTCATTTGGCGGGACTCATTTAGAGAGAAAATTAAAAGGAGCTTTAAACTACAATATCTAGGTTACATTTTTAAACAGCTGTTCCGAAGGAGCTTGACTGCCCTATAATACAGTCAATTTGAGGGAAAGACCAGGGCTCAGGTATTCCAATTTGAAATGGCAACCGAGGCCTTTTAATGTCCAGGTTACACACAGACCGCTTCTTCACGAAAGTTCCTGCGTTGCTCTAAAAGCTTGCCCATTCTCCCGATGGAAAAATAATAATAATAATAATAATAAAAAAAAAAAGACAGAGGTTTTGCTGAAGGAAACCAATGACATTTAAACCTCCCCGATTTCCCTTAAAACCCACACGCCCCTTCGCAGTGCAGATCATTCGCGTCCCAAATGTGGAAAGTTGGGAGTTAAGCTAGCGACGAAAACTCATGGGGCTACTACGAGAAAGAAAAAAAACCGCCGCTTTTTAAAGTCACAAAACTCCCCGAAGGAAGAAGAAGAAAAAAAAAAAGAGTTTGAGGAGCGGAGGCTGAGGTGGCGACTCAACAAGGCGCGAGTCTCCCGAGCGCCGACGCTCTGACTTGCGAATTAGCCGGGAGTTAAAAGATTATTAGGTTTAAATATTCGCTGTGTAGAATAAAGTCCGGTGGCTTTTATTTACAAATAAAGAGGCGCCTCGGCCGCACTCGGGATAGTAGCGGGTCCCTTTTTGGCGGGAAAAGCCGGGCGGCGTTAGGCCCCGGGCCTGTCCGTCGAGGCTCCCCCGCCTCAATTTTCCTCAAGATACCCATCCGGGCAGGGGCAGCTCTGAGGGGGCCGCCCGGCGCCCGGTCTCCTCCTCCTCTTTCTCTGGTCGGAAAAAGCAACTGGTTCTGTGGAGCTCGTCCTTTTGGCGGCCGCGCGGCGTTTTTTTCCCCCCCGCGCCGCTTAGGAGGAGGCCTCGTTCTCTGAGGCGTGGAGCAGCAGGCCGGCGCTAGGCCCGCCCGCCTTGTGCTTCTTGAGCAGCTGCGTGATTTTCTCGTCGTCCGAATTGGGGTCCAGGGGCCGGTTGTAGTCGTCGTCCTCCTCCTCGTTCTCCGAGGCGCCTTTCAGCCGCTCCGTCTCCGAGTCCTGCTTCTTTTTGGCGGTCGCCATCTCGGCAGCGTGTTTCTTCCGCCACTTGGTCCGCCGGTTCTGGAACCAGACCTGGAAGGAGGAAAGAGAGAAAAGAAGGCCGGTGAAAAGGAGAACCAGAGGGCCTGCTGTCTGAACCCCCAGTTTTCGCTCGAGAGTTTCTGCCCGGCTCCCGGCTATCCCGTTCGGAGGAGTGAATCCGGATCGGCCACTTACTTCCTCTCCGATTCGCAAGGCCAGAAACCCACAAGAAGATGGGTTTCAAAGCTTTGGGAGGATTCGCACTCGGTGCTAAACGAGAGGAGCACTGGGGGGCATTTTCACATAGACTAGACTAGACTAGCAATAGAATAGAATAGAATAAAAGGAAAGAAGGAAAGGAGAAAGGAAAGGAGAATAGAATAGAATAGAATAGAAAAAAAAGGAAAGGAAAGAATAGAGAATAGAATAGAATAGAATAGAATAGAATAGAATAGAATAGAATAGAATAGAATAGAATTCTGTATTGGCCAAGTGTGATTGGACACACAGGGAATTTGTCTTTGATGCATATGCTCTCATTGTACATAAAAAGACAAGATACATTCATCAAGAATCATAAGGTACAACATGTAATGATAGTCATAGGGAAACAGTCAATATATTAAGTCTTAAGGATAGCAGCAACAAAGTTATAGTCATAAGCGGGAGGAGATGGGTGACAGGAACAAAGAGAAGATTAATAGTAGTGCAGACTTAGTAACTAGTTTGACAGTGTTGAGGGAATGATTTGTTTAGCAGAGTGATGGCGTTTGGGAAAAAACTGTCCTTGTGTCTAGTGTGCAGTGCTCTATAGAGTCATTTTGAGGGTAGGAGTTGAAACAGTTTATGTCCAGGATGTGAGGGGTCTGTAGATATTTTCACAGCCCTCTTTTTGGCTCCTGCAGTATACAGGTCCTCAATGGAAGGCATGTTGGTAGTAATTGTTCTAATTACTTCCAGAAGAAGCAGGATTTCCCCCCCAAACCTGGTAACTTTAAGATAAGTGGACTTTAACTCCCAGAAGCCCCCAGCCAGCATTTGGGGTGGGGTGGGGGGAATTTGGGGAGTTGAAGTCCACACATCTTTAAAGTTGCCAAATTTGAAAACTCTTATTACAGACTATAATCTGGTTGCTTTTACCTTGATGTAAAAATCCCAGGCACCGATAATAACACAATTATTTCTGGACTTTAATTCCCAGAAGCCCCCAGCCAGCATTTGAGGTGGGGGGAATTTTGGGAGTTGAAGTCCATGTATCTTATGGTAAAAGTTGCCAAGTTTGAAAAACTTTTATTCCAGACCATTATCTGTTTGCTTTTACCCTGATGTAAAAACCCCAGGCATTGATAATACACAATTTCTAGTTGAATATGATATGAGAAGCAGTTTGGTGTAGTGATTCAAGGTGCCAGGCTAGAAACTGGGAGATTTGTGAGTTCTAGTCCTGCCTTAGGCACAAAAACAGCTGGGTGATCTTGGGCCAGTCTCTCTCTCTCTCAGGCCCAGGAAGAAGACAATGGCAAACCTTGCCAAAGAAATTGCAGGGACTTCTGACAGTTGCCAGTCGAGAATGGCTCTATAAAGGTGGGCTTGGAGAGATGGGAGAACACTGGAAAATTGCAGAGCTGTAGACTAGATAGTAAAGGAGGGGGAAAAAACCCCAAAGAAGTAACATCTCTATTGTTTATTTCCAGAAAACATGGATATTTCTTTGAAATTACCAAAGTGAAGCCCATTCTCTAAAGGAATTACATATGCCTACACTTGGTTTAAAAGAAGGCTAATATATAAAATTGATACGCACATCTTTCAAAGAAAAAGCCTGATTTTAGAAATTATTTTCATAGCATCGTTAATTTGTGTACATGTATTGAAAAGGGGGTCTTCATATCCTCCAGGAAGGCACCAGGTCTCAAATCAAATGTTTGCAGGACCGCAAATGTAGCACACGTTTGCACCTCTTAACATACCTCAACTTTTCCTGGAATCATATAGCTTATCCCAGGAATGTGATAACTCTGTGTTTTTTCAACTTGGCAACTTTTAAGATGTGTGGACTTCACCTCCCAGAATTCCCCAGCCATTTGCCAAGTTGAAAAACATTGCTGTAACTGCTTTGCAAGCAAATATGTACTGCATACTCCTCCAATTTGGACTGAGGGGACCCTGAAATTAGAATCTCCATAAACACACCCTGGAAAATGTCTTCTGTTTTGGATACACATACTGACTGGGTAGGACACATTAACGAAGGGGGACAACTGAAAGTCTGGGCCAGTTCAAGGGTCTGGCATGCATGGCATAGGGCCAAGTTATCTTTGGGACTGCTTCCTTCTGTGGACATCTACCTATCCACAGGTAGGTAAACATGAGTTAATTCTACTTTGTTATAGGGCTCTATTAAGAGAATCTTGCAAGTCTGAAAGTACAAATCCCCCACCATCTCTTTACTTCCTTAAGTTGGATTCTTTCTAAGTTTCCCCCTCTGCTTATTTTGCAGCTCAGGGTTCCCCCTTCCTGCCTTTTTTCAGTATTTCTTCCCCTTATTTGCCAAGGTTATTCCCACATAGTATTACAGGTCCAAACCATGTCTCCTCTCTAAAATGCAGTTATCTGTGGGGATCTAGGAACTGAGGCCTTTCCATAGCTGTGTCTGCTTTGTGAAACAGCCTCCCCTGAGATTCAGGGCGTCACTACCCATCTCACCTTCCAAGGTGTTCTGAAGATCTGACTTCTCTCTCAGGTATTATCAGTTCAGGAGGGCAGGAGAGCCCAGCATTTGTGGTTTTATGATGGTATTGTTATGATGCTTAGTGGTATAAGGTTTTTAATTTGGGATATTTTGCTATTCGTTTATATGCTGTTAGTCATCCAAGAGTTAATTTTATAAAACATGGGCAGCCATACAAATTTTTTTTTTAAAAAATAAATAAAATTGGCCTGCAGTCAGGCAGCCTGTCTTCTTCCTTTGTGCTAATTTTGAAGAAGTTCTCATAGTCAAATCATTGTGAAGTAATTGTTTTTTTCTATTACTGTAATGGAAAAAAAAACTACTTTTAAATTATGTTGTCTGTTCCACAGTCCCAGCTTTCCTGCCCAGGCATAATAGATACAAGGTTCTCAAATAGAGCTATGAAGGGTAAATTAAATTTAATGGTGGTAGTTGGGTTTGATATATAGTATAAACTAGTTTTAGAACTAGATTCTAAAGCTGGTTATTTCAGAGTTAATGTCATTGAGATTGACAGAATTTGCTCCAAGCTGTAGGACTGGCAGTCCAAAAGGTTTGCTGTCCAAAAATGCAATTTACTGAAAAATTGTCATGGTGGTGATCAGTGGTGCCTATAAAAAAAAGTTAGTATGATGGCTACGATGGTTACAACTGAAGGTCATAAAAACAGAATGAGCTGCGATCACATTATTGTGGCCACCATTCTAGAGGGTGTTTTTTAAAAAAAACTATACCCAGCAGACAATTCTTAGTGTGATAGTACATTTTTTTAATGTTTCATGGAAATACAGGACAAAAAGACTCTTCACCCCCAACTGGCTTTATGATCCAGATCAACTTAACTGAAAAATGGACAGTCTAATTCCATCTCATTTCAGGTAGAGTGGAAATAATTCTGTAGTTAGCTGTGTGGTTGAATCCAGATTTAGCCAGGCTTAAAGTAAACCTATCAGAACCAATAATAAATCATTTCTACCTAATAATAAACCATTTCTACCTAAAATATCAATGATTCAATAAGTCTGCTTCTAAATATATATTATATTTATATAATATATAAACACTTCTAAATATGTACAAAGTTAGTTTTAAGATCTGTTTGGCATCATTATTTTGGAGTTGTTTTGGAGCCATGGTTTTTTTTTACACACACAAAAGAGAATGTCTTTTCTAAGACAGTGGTAGCTGCAACATCCTTTTTTTCACTACGCTCACATTTATAACAGGCTCATGATAGGTTTTTCTCCTACTACTGTTAAAAACTTAAACATAATCATTTCAAACATCCTCCCATGCAAAACTAGTGGAAAAGTACAAAAGGAAAATTTGCATTAACTTTCATTTTTCAGTGCATCTTGCACAATAGGGCTTATTATACTTTTGCCTTCTGCACTAAATTCCACTCTGCATTACTGCAGTAACTAGTGTTAGTTCCTATGGCAATATAGATACTACTGTATTATCACTGATATCCCCAGAGTAGTTATCCTGCATTTGATGCAATTTTAATTGTTTCTCCAATCCAGCAAAAATTTATTTCATGCATGAGCACATACACTCCTGCATCTATTTTTCTCTCTCAAATGTTATGTGAATGCCAATTTATGTCCTGGAAGGAACCAAGTGTCATGCCACATGCCTTCAGTGGCATCTGTGTGATGATACCACATAACTGCCATCATGTTGGTGTCATTAAGGTTTACTGGCTGTACGGTGCCATATCAATGGTCCAGTGATATGCTCATCTCCAACGTAATATACATTCTGATAACTTTTTCACTTTCTCTTGGACCAATAAAAATAAAGTCAAGCCCAGAAGTGTTCATATGTTTCTTGACAATCATATGAAAGGAGTTTCTCCCCCCCCCTCCCCAACTTCCAGTGTAGTTTACAGCCTTGAAAACTTCTTGGTGGTCTTCCGTTCAAATATCGCCCAGAAATAATTTGCGTAGTATTTTGAGTTCAGTCTAGTTGATTAGACACTTGACTGTTTATATACAATTGTTTATATACAATCAAGTTGATGTCAACTCTTAGCAACCAGATAGATAGACTATCTCCAGGATGATCTATCCCAAGGACAGGTCTTCAGGCCTTCCAGGGTTGCACCATCATCCTGGAATTAAATCTATTCATTGATTAGATACTACTAAGCTCCAAAATCTCAGAGGTCCTATTAAAGCAATGGAGCTAGCTATTTCAAAGAAATGTGATTGAACACTATGATTTCCACTCTTTTAATGCCAACAGGTTGCTGTTAAATCAGTCCATCATATAGGATTATTTATATTCACCAAAATTATTTTTACACCCCCTATTT